CATCTGGACTCTTCCAGAAAGAGAGAGAGACATGGGGACAGTTTTAAAGACAACAAAGACACATAATTACCAAAGATAGCACTTGGAATGAATGAAGATCGTTTGGGGAACCATAAGAGAAAATTTTAAATATTTAAATATAAAATGAATTAAAGTATTTTTCAATTATGAAACTGTGAGAGGAAATTTTGAAGTCTTTTTTTTACCCCTTTCCCTTCTCCCACTCACTCTGGCCCAAAGGTTTTTATTTATTTATTATATGTAAGTACACTGTTGCTGTCTTCAGACACCCCATAAGAGGGCATCAGATCTCATTACAGATGGTTGTGAGCCACCATGTGGGTGCTGCGATTTGAACTCCGGACCTCTGGAATAGTAATCAGTGCTCTTAACTGATGAGCCATCTCTCCAGCCCAAATTTTGAAATCTTTATGACATGAATTCAAGCATTGAGCTTACCTAGAAGAATGTTGGCAGAGAAGGAACACAGGATTAAAGAGCCTTGACTAGAGGAAACAGAATGATTGAGACCAAACATGAAAATCTAGCGACTGTAGACAGAGGGTAAGCGGTGCTCATTGTTCTGTGTTTCCCCCATTTGTATATAATTTTGAACATTTTCTAATTAGAAGTTAAAAAAAAGTGAGATCAGGCAGAAAAAAAAGTCCAGGTGCAAACCAAAAGAAGAAAAAGGCAGAGGAAATGAAGTTTAAGGGACATGGTGACCAGAGAGGATGTGTGGATCTTTTCAGCTCCTGAAGCTGAAAAGAGAGCTTACTGAGAGGATGTTCAATGCACAGAACTACCAGGGGGATCGCCCAAGCTGGGTCATGAATAGGGATCCATCTACCAACACGTCTGAAAATGTAAAGGCAGGGGTATCAGGGAGACCTACGTAACATTGGACCTTCTCAGCTGATAGATACCCATCACGCCATAACTCTTGACGGCTAAATAATCATGAGAGAGTAAGCTATGAGATACAGGTTAGAGCCAGAATTTCTCTTGTAATTTTAGTGAGTTTGGAGAGGGCCAGTGGAGGAGGGGAAACTACGTGGCAGTGATTGTCTATTTTCATTTCTTCTATGTTCTTCTGTTTTTCATTTGCTCAATTGCCCTAATGCGTGAGGCTCCTGACCACCATAGAGAAGGTTAGCTCTGAGGCACGCCCCTCATCTCTGAAGCTGGTGCAATGGTATTTATTGCTTACACTTAAATTTTATAGTCGAAATACTGTCACTTAATCACTTCTGCTTTGCTAGTGTTTCTACTGTCTTGAGTTTTCAATATGTTGCTATGGCGTTAGGTGCTAATTTGACATTTAGATAGAAGTAAGAAAAAAAATGAAAGGAACAGAGCAAAGGGGAAAGCAGCCTGGCGCCACACTGGAGATGCACACTCTGCTAGTTTGCTGGGAGAACAGGGGAACCCACGGTCACATGAGTCTTAGGAACGGAGACATGATGCCCAGTCATGGACCTGAGCAGTTTCACTCTGAGTAAAGTATGGCAGTCAGAAAGGCCAGCAATGTTCTGTTTTGTGTGTTGTCTAGAAGGGACTAAGAAGCAAGTAAAGTATGCAGCAAATGGCGTGTCTTTAAGTCTACCTAGAGAAAACCTTAGAGACTTAAACTTCTGCCCATAGTGTAAGCCACCAAGAGCCAAACAGGAGTCCATAAGGATTACACATGGAAAGAAAAAGTCATCTCTGAAAAGGCTCAACAAACCAGACTTACAAAAGGTTCAGTGACAGAAGACAGGTGAGACCCAGTTTAGAAGGGACAGTAGTTGGGGAGGGGGTCCAGAAGAAAATAAGCCTTGGTTTCAGCAGCCTCTTAGCACACAGGAGAGATGACTTCCAGTTGAATGGGAGATTTTATTGGAACAAGTCATATTTATGAAATAACCCGAAACTTGACCGTATTGGCCAATATCTATGTCACTCATCAAAATTTAAAATACCTATCTATGAAGTGGCTTCCCGCACCCCTCCTCACTGTGCGGGGTCTCAGTCACTGTTTGCCTTGGAGGTCAGGGCTTGGGTGTGGGGTTTCACCTTTTCAGCGGGGTCGTCAAGTTCAGTGAATGTTCTCTGTGGAGACTGAACCTCTGTCCTCCTCTGCCCTCTGGCAACTTCTCCCATCTCCCACCACTCTTTATGCCTGTGGGTGACTGAGCGCTGCCATATTTCCCGTGTTCCCAGTTATTTCAAGAACTTAAAACTGATTTCTACCCTGCCAATGCACGAGAGCAGACTGATTCACTTTCCCTGACACACTATGGTGCCTACTCATGCCCTCCTGCCCAGGGACCTGGAGACTCAGAGCCAGCCCACCAGAAGCTCACAGGAGGCTTGCCTAGACTCTGCACTCTCTGTGTGTGAAGGACACCAGGCAAGACCAGAACCCTTGGGCTGACTCAGCTCAAACTGTGACTCCTGAGCAGTCTCCCCACATCCCCCCACCCCCACCCCCACTTCCATACACAGACTTTCTGTATGTGAGAACTACCATGAACCGTTTTTTAGTGTCTTTATCATAAACCTGCCCTCTTGGATGATCTGTGGTCCTCTGACATGGTCTCCATGGTTTGTGGTCACACTTTGGACTGCTGCCAGCTTGCCAAATTTCTCTTAAAACTCTGCGTGCAGCGTTTCAGATGACTTACTACAAGGAAGCTGTCCTTGTCCTTATTTATTTCCTGGGTGTGTCACTCCTGACTTACACAAGAAGTACAAAGTTCCTCAGTCCTCAAGGTCCCAGACAAATGCGATCTCTTTTGCAGTGCCTCGCTTATCTAACTGTTGGTGTTTCTGGCCCAAATTGTTTGAGTTTTGTTGGTACATTGTCCTACGTGTGTCACACAAATTGTGCAGGAGGCCTGGTCCCTTTGCCAGCGCATCCTGTCTTGAAAGTAACTACTTTAGGTTTTGTGCCTTAACGCTTCCTGTAACACTTGGTGTCTGGAAATTGTCGACCAGGGGTTTAATAAAGTTAGCTAATTGTTCCTAGTCCTTTGAAATGGAAATTTTTATCTCAGAGCTGAAGAGACGGATCAGAGGTTAAGAGCAGGAAGAGAGTCCCAGCACCCACTCGGTGGCTCACAACTGTCTGTAATTCCAGCTTCAGGAGAACTGCTGTCCTCTTCTGGACTCCATGGGTCCCTCTGCAGGTGGTGCACAACTCGATAAATAAAAATAAACAGTAAAACAAAATGTATGCCTACATGTTCTCAAAGTCTACCCAGGACAGTCAGGTTGCTGTTAAAAATCAAGGTGTCCCTTGGATTCCCCATGTGCCACCGCAGACTGTAACAAATTGCATTTACTTTGTTGTTTTTTCCCCAACTCTGCCGTCACGCCCTCTGAAGAATGCAGGTAGAGATGCTTGTTTTCTGTCTCTGGATTGTGTATGTACTGACATGTCAAAGCGGAAGCTCTTACCCTTTGCCCTCTCTCATCCACTGCAACATCTAGAAAGCCCCCATGCTCAGGTGCACTGGGCTCGGGCCCTATCGCCTGGTGGGCTGGGTTGGGTAAGTTATTACTGACCCTCAGCTTTGCTGAGTGCCTCACAGTTTACAAAGTGCTGTCCCTCCAGTCTTTCGAATTGTCCTCTGTGTCTTACAATTGAGAAGACAAGCTCAGACAGATGGGTTCGTGGTGGCTGCAGGGGACGCTTGAGGGTGGAGCCCAATTCTACAGCTCCATATTCTTTTTGTTTGTTTGTTTGTTTTTTTGTTGTTTTGTTTTTGCATTTTGAGACAGGGTTTCTCTGTGTAGTCCTGGCTGTCCTGGAACTTACTCTGTAGACCAGGCTGGCCTCGAGCTCAGAAATCCACCTGCCTCTGCCTCCCAAGTGCTGGGATTAAAGGCGTGCGCCACTATGGCCGGGCCAGCTCCAGATTCTTGCTGAGTTAAAATAAAATCCCTCTATCTCTACTGAGGACAGAAACTAACTGGGCATGCGCGGTCCCTCCGCCTGCTTTGCCCGTCGTTTTTCAGCCCTTTTTACTCTCCACGCAGCTGTAGGAGTGGATTCCACTCACTAGCAGAATCTGTTGGGCTGCAGGACATGCATCGCCAGACAATAAGCTTCTCTGGTTTAGGGTTTTTGGTTTTTTTTGTTTGTTTGTTTGTTTTGTTTCGTTTTGGTTTTGTTTCTTATTACAAGGAGGCTGTTCCGTACCGTCCCGGTCACTATCTGATTTGATAGTACCTGCTCAAAGATATGATGCAATCCCAACTCGAAGCATCTCTTTGGAAATTCTTTCCTGTAGCTCTTAACTCCCCTCTCTGTTTGGCATAAAGGCGCTCTCTGTGATGTTACTTGTTTTCTGTGACATTTTCATATTTCAGTCGGCCCTGAGTGGTAGGGTTAAGAAGGCACAGGGGCACCGTTGGGTTCACCTCTCCTTCTCTTGTGCTTTTTCCCGCTGGTTTAGGTATTGTTAGAACTCAGAGGGTAGCTCACACACATCTCCTTTATCCACATTTCATACCTCAGCAAGAACTAGTTGCTCAGATGGGTCCTTACAGAGATCAGAGCTCCGAGGAATGGGACCCAGGACAGGTAAGAGTTTAGGGGCCAGGGGAAGGGCTGCAGCGTGGGGGCACGGTGCCCGATGGGAGGTGTGGGAGGGCACTGCGGTCTCAGAGAGGAGTGACCCTGGTAACTGATGTCTGCCAGGAAACAGTCACCATGCCTTCGACTTAGCCTTGGAGTTTTAGTCGATCCTGGTCGCTGCAGGAGGCAGTGGCCGTGATCAGTGAGTGACCTCTCACTTTTAAGAGTTGGCAGCAAGCACAGCGGCCTCTCGGCCTCCTGCCTCCTGTTGAGGAGTGATGACTTCTGGAGATAATTGGTTCTCCTTTTAAGTGAAGTTGAGAATTCAAAATGTGGAGATCTCAGAATGATTATCTGCTGCTACAGTTGGAGAGGAGCCGTTCTCCCATGACCAAGTGTAACGGGGGAACCCCTTTTCTCTTTCTCCACTTTGCAGACAGCTGCAGCACGACTACCCCAGAGCCCTGATTTTCAGCACCGATGACTTTTTCTCCAGGGAAGATGGCGCCTATGAGTTCAACCCCAACTTCTTGGAGGAAGCTCATGAGTGGAACCAGAAAAGAGGTGACAAATTCCTTTCTAAACCAGGGAAGGTATGGGGAGGGGGTTGGCTTTATGCATGCACATTGTAGCAGCTTAAAAAGGAATACATTTCATGGAAGGAGCTTTAGCCAAAAGCTCGATGTTTTCCTACCCTGCAGAATGCCAGGGCTTAACCCCTGTTGATTCCAGCAAACAGAAACCCCCTGATAATGGTTCAGCATGAGGTAGCATCTACCTGTGGGAAGACAGTCTCTTGTAATGACAGTAACAATGTGGATGATGCTTGACCTGCTGACTGCTGCATGTTGTTCACCTTTGTGTTGCATTGTGTTACAGCAAGGAAAGCAATGCGGAATGGCATATCCCCCATTATTATTGATAACACCAACCTGCACGCCTGGGAAATGAAGCCCTATGCAGTCATGGTAGGGAGAAGTATCATTCTGAATTCTCAGTTATGGACATTTTATGAGAAAGTTGAAACCTGGGTTCTTTCCTTATTTTCTCATCTTCCATGATTTCACAGTCACTAATGGTAGTTCTTGCAAGGAGCCAATAAAGTTGGTAATGTTGTCTCAGGTTTTCTCTTCAGTTCAGTTCAGTTACTGAGGACCCACTTTACCTCTGAGGGTCCTCCATAAATAGCAGTACTTGGTCTGAGTCCTTGGTAGACATTTTCCTTCCTTCCTTCCTTCCTTTCTTTCTTTTTCTCTTTCTTCCCTCCCTCCTTCCTTCCTCCCTCCCTCCCTCCCTCCCTCCCTGCTTCCCTTCTTCTCTTCCTTCCCTTTCCTTCCTTCCTTTCTTTCTTTCTTTTTCTCTTTCTTCCCTCCCTCCTTCCTTTCTTTCTCTTTTTGAGACAGGCTCTTACTATGTAGCCCTGGCTGTCCTAGAATTCACTATATGGACCAGGCTGGCCTCAAACTCATAAAGTTCTACCTGCCTCTGCTTGCCTCCTTGCTAGCTCTTCGGTTGTGGCTGTTTTCTGTTCAGAGGAACATCCACTGACCCTTGCTTGGAAATACAGACTAGAGAACGCACTGACAGGGCTATGAGCCCCAGTGAGTCAGTTCTCCCTGCTGGAGGCTGAAGATTTCAGCACTCTTTTGCTGAGAGTTCCAGGGCAACAGAATGTCTTAGTTTATGAACAGATTTAGAATTAACAGTGTGACACTATTAAGGCAGTAGAATACAAATACCAACACATTACTCTGCTCCATTCTGATCTTTTCAGACACTTTATATCTGGTGCTAACAAGTTTTCATTCGACAAACGAGAGCAGGAGGCAGACAGCTTCTTGAGTTACACACGGCTCCTAGGATGTTGTGAGGTCTCTTCCACAGAGCTCCTGGAAGTTTAGTTTTAAGATTCCCCCCACCCCCACCCCACGCCTACACACACACATTTAGGCAAAACTAACAGAGACAGGTGTGCTTCTGTCTACTGACATCTTCCTGTCGGTTCTGCTCAGGCCCATGGGGTACAGCTTGGATGAGTTCACATTCAAGGCCACACGAGGCGAGTGGAGCTGAGAACTGCTGCACGCAGGCGCAGCCCGACCCTGCATTAAGGAACATCTAGCAGTGGCTTCCAGGAAGTCCTTTCTCTTCTCAGTTTTGGGTACTAGCCACCCACAGCTGTTAATGAGACCCAGTCATTAGCTGTTCGTACAACATGGCAGTTGAATTCTTTCCTGAATAGAACCACCTATCCAAAGAGTGAAGAGGAAACGTAAATATTTAAATGGATTTATTAGTTGATAAACAATAACCTTACCTATCTGTGGAGTGCAGGGGGCTGCTCCAGTGGATGTGTTCCTGCTGAGTCAGGGTACTTAATTATCTGCCACCTCCAGCATCATTTTTGGGTGGGACGAGAACACCCACAGTTCTCTCTTGGCTATTTTGATTTGTGTAATACTAGCTATAACCCCCCTGGTGTAACAGCGCACTACAGCTTATGCATGCTGCCCGAGGAGACGCCCCAGCTTAGCTCATCTAAGTCTGTTTTCTAACACGTTGAACGGTAGTGATAACAGGGCTGTTTGAACAAAGTGGTCAGCTTACAGATGCAAAGAACATCCAGATGTTTACTTGAGAGCCCTACTCATTTTCTAACCTCACAGAAATGAGGCCCAGGGCATTTGGGCCAAGCACTGCAGAGCAGGGAAAGCTGGGATTGCTGGAAACAGTGTATAAAACATGGATCACTCTTATTCCATAAGTGGCACTCTCAGTTACAAACCAAGGTGGGAGGAGGTAAATCCAAGATAATTGTGGAAGCAGCTTCAGGAATTCCCCAGGTTCACTCTTCACACCTGTGCTTGAGACATTTCCTCTTGAGTTCAGTGATTCGTCTTAAGGATGTTCAGACTCCTACCAGATAAAACTGACCATCTTTGACACTGAGACATGTATAACACCATGGGAGAGACTAGGGATGGGGATGCAATGCAGGAGATAGATTCAGGGCCTGGATGACTTGTAAAACGGGGGTGTTGGGACAAGACTGTAGTGACTGTTAAGTGGAATGTGACTATTCCCAAGTCTACATGCCATGTCTTCACTGTCTTATGTGCTCAGGCCCTTGAGAATAACTATGAAGTTATATTCCGAGAACCCGACACTCGCTGGAAATTCAACGTTCAAGAGTTAGCAAGGTACCTCTTTGTTTTCCTAGTTCTTCATTCTATATCCTGCTGTTTTCAGGAATTACAGACTGAACAAAAGCATCATTGCAGGCTGGAATGGACTAGTTTTCAGGCCAGAAATGGTAATTCTTAGAAACTGATTAACTTTGGATCTATTAACGTGAGGCCCTTAGTTTAGAGCTAGATGTCTAACATGATGCTAAACGCTAATCCTTGACTTGGATCTGGTCCTTAGAAGAACACACTTAATTTTGTGCTCAGTTGCTTCCGCATTAATGAACATTTAAGGCAATTACTCCGCATGGGACAAGATCTTTGGATGTTAAGCAGAATGTGACACATTCCTGCTGCTTTGGTTTCTATAGCAACATATGTCCAACTAGTAACTTGGTTTTTAATGCCCGACATCTGATAACAATACTCTGTGTTACCTGATGCCAAATGACCCAATAGAAGAAGAATATTTCTAAAGCAAGTCTATGGTCATCCCCATGATTGACTAATTGGTAAATCTGACATGGCTCAGGAACTCTAGTCTGTAATTGAAATCTTGGCAATTGAGTTTCTAACCACATCCCCAACTAGTATTTGTGCCCTCCAGAATTTAAGATTGTTTTAGTAAGCGTCATTTAATGGTATCAGACCAACTGATCCAAACTGGTAATAGATGTATGCATGCCATCAACAAGCAGATCACTAAATGCATGCGTTATCTTCTGCGGTGTTTGTTCATACTCAACATCACTTAGCCTTTCTTTAGAAAGGACTAAAGCCTTCTTTTAGAAAGGCCTTTCTAAATCTAGACCTAGGCTTTTGCGGGGTGTGCAGAGTAGCATGAGAAACAGTAGTAGAGCCAGAGAAGTACCTCAACAATAGGACCTATGCTTGCCCGGTATCCTGAGTCAGAGCAGTAGCCATGCAGTGAAGGATTTGGATGTAAGTTACTTATTTTGATAGCCTGCCTTAACTAAAGATTTGTGGGTTTTTTTCCTTTTTTTTCTATGTAGAAGAAACATCCATGGGGTTCCAAGAGAAAAAATACACCGGATGAAAGAACGGTATGAACACAATGTTACCTTTCACAGTGTCCTTCATGCAGAAAAGCCAAGCAGAGCGAACAGAAACCAGGACAGGAACAGCGCACCGTCCAATGGCTCCGGGTACTGGAATGCCTACACAGAGTTCCCCAACCGAAGAGCTAATGGCAACTACTCCAACGAAAGCTACAGAAGGGGTGGCCCCTACCAAGGATATTAACAGCCTGTGCAGAGCCACTGCAGAATTTTCCTAGAGAAAGTTTCTACTTCAATTTTTGGTATTTATTCTTTGTTCAGTTTTAGCCAGAGCTCTAATTCCAGTGTAAATAGCCACGCCCAGAAGTTTCTGAACAGAGGTCATTCAGTTCATTATCTCCAACAAAAATGTCAGCGTGCGCCCGTACGCATGGTCTGATGCTGGGGTCCTGCTGAGGAGTCAAGGGTCTTTCTCCAGGGAAAGAATTGATTTGAAACTGAAATCCAAGATTATCAATTAGTTGCATAGAGTCATAAATAAAACAAGATGTGACTAGTACATTTCTATAGGCTACAGTACCACCGTCTCTGACAGATCCATCTTCTCTATGGAGCTGGAGAGGTGAGGGAGGCAGAGGCAGGAAGCAGTGTAACACCATTGCTGCTCTGATGATCTGTCTGCCTCCAGAGACCTGAGCCATCTCTCTAATGGCACTGATTTTCTTTTAGACCTAATGCGCAGAAGGGAATGTAGTCCCTCAAGGTAACATTAGGGGAGTTACTCCCGAATTTTAATGATGCGTCACTGTTAGAAATGCCTGTGGATTCTTAGTAACAAAGGCAACTAAGAAGAATCAGTACCATTCCAGTCAGACCCTGCAGACAGCAGCGTCTGGACAAACTCCTCCCTCTAGCTTGTAGTACAACAGTGTAAATAAGCCTGCTTTCGCAAAACACGAGTTTTTAAGAATCATCAAGTGATTTCTAAAATGATGCCTATAACATGCTATTAGTTAGTAACCCAGATGTTTGGGACTGCAAGGAAAGGAAGCAGCCAGGGTGTAGGTCATACAAGGAGATACGAAAGTCGTGCCCACTGACATGAACAGTCTGACTGTTTTACGTGGTGTTGAGACAGTAAATGGTGGAATGGCCCTCATATCAATTATGAATGTATGAGTCCAAATTAAATCCCAGCAGGCTGGAATCAGATTCATTGGTACAAGACCATGACAAGAACATGTGAGATGAATGTTCTATTTATTTTTGGCCAACAGCTTCTTTCTAATGTTTTGTGAAATATTATTTTAAGTGTCTTATATAATGGTGCTTTTATGGTTATTAAAATTGTATATGGTATTGAATTTATATTGGGTTTTCCATTGAATTTATTATTTTTTCTGTTTAACAACAAAACATTTACCAAACCCAAGGACTTCAACCATAAAATAACCTTTGCATATATCATAAACTTATTCTTGAATAAGCTTAATAACTGAGAGGAATGAAGTCCACACATTCGAAGGCCAACTTGCCATTGTCATTATCAACACTGTTGGAATCCACTCAACATCTCTGTGACAATGGCAACACACTTCCTTAACATTTTCCAAATTGGTGTCTTAGTAATAAGTAATGTTATATAAAAATAACACCAATAATAAATAACACCTAATAACAGAAAGCCCAGATGACAAGTCTCACCGTAAACTGGGCTGAATCTGTTGTTCTAACTTTGCACACAGCAATCCAGTAGCAATTCATTTAGGTTTCCTATGAGCCAGGCCCAGGTAATGGTTGGAATCATAGCCTGTAGGCTGCCTGCAGGATGGCTTTGGTATGGATGGCTTCATGCATGTAAGTTGGCAGAGGGGAGAAGGGTCAGAGCCCAGATGGAATTTCCTTCCTCTGGTTCCACACGTGCAGCCAAAGGACCAGATCCACATTCCCTGATGTGGCTGGTTGGCTTTCAGAGCTTTGGTTTGCTTGATCTGAGGCTGAAGTCCACAATAAAAGTCTTTGGCCTTGGGCAGTGGTGGCGCACGCCTTTAATCCCAGCACTTGGGAGGCAGAGGCAGGTGGATTTCTGAGTTCGAGGCCAGCCTGGTCTACAGAGTGAGTTCCAGGACAGCCAGGTCTACACAGAGAAACCCTGTCTCGGAAAAAAAAAAAAAAAAAAGTCTTTGGCTTTGTGCCAGAGCCTTCTCAGAGCTCTTAAAGTCTCCTGCCCAACCATGTCTCTGCTTTCTCCTACATGGAAATACCAAAATACTTGGTTTGGAAGCACAAAACTGATTAAATGCCACCAAGTATGTATTGAAAAGCAGTACATACTTTTCCTTTCAACTCGTCTGGCTTCTGACTTCCGGACCTTTAAACAGCCATCACTGACTTGCATTAGTATGTCTCCCCTTGCGTTATTCATAGAGCTAGCCGAGTGCTCCGGAACCAAAGGCTCTCACTAAGAATAAATAACACTAAATGCTTTTGCCATTCATCCCTGGTCATACAATACACACTGTTGGCTTTAACCATTGTCACTTTCAGAAGGAAAATATGCACACGTAGCAAAGTTTCATACTTTGTTCATGCAGTGTAGATGTTTGTGGTTTATGTAAAAGGCGTCTGTACTAGCTGTCTGGAACTGGTGGCCTGAGAGAATGGAGAATGGAACAGCACTTTAGACAGGACTCACAAGAAAAAAGGTTTACTATCAGCTGGGTGGTGGTGGCTCAAGCCTCTGATCCCACCCAGTTCTTGGGAAGAAGACACAGGTGGATCTCTGAGTTCGAGGCCAGCCTGGTCTACAGAACGAGTTCCAGGACAGCCAGGGCTACACAGAGAAACCCTGTCTCAAAAAAAAAAAAGTTAAATTTTATAAATAGCATAATTCCTATTATGTAAGACTTGTTTACTCTGCTATAGGTTGGGTCTCCAGGACAATGATTAGGACATGAAGACCAAATTATTTTGTGAACAAAATTTAAATCACTAAGAGGAGAACACTTATGGCTGAAGTTCAGTGACAGCACCTACCTGCTGATGGGGCTGTGGTCAGGGAAGGGCTTTGTTCAAGCTGCCTTGAACCTTCTGTGTAGTGAAGGATGACCCAGACTCCTCTGCCTCCCGTGTGCTGGGATGACAGGTGTGTGTCATTATGCTTGACTGGCTTTCTAGCTGGAATAACTTGAGAGGTTACACTAGGACCACAGGAAGGAGTGACTCTGATGGCTCCTCTAGCTGACAAGGAGGAGCAGCTGGCTGGGGTAAACATCAGTCATGCCTATTTATGCTGACAGGACGGAGCTCTAGCAGAACCAATCGTGCAGGAAAGATCACTATTTCATAGGAGTTCCTACTTAAAAAACTTCAGAAACAGGAACCAGACTATGTAGTTAAAGTAAATGTACTTAGTGACCCAAACTAAAAGCAAAGCTATGTTTATTTTGTATGTAAAATACTTGTAGTGATCAAGTCTAATCCTAAAGACTTTTAAAGTAGTGTATAACCAGCTTTAATTATACCCATACAGAACCAGGTAGAGCATCTGAATAGTAAACAAACGCTTCAGTAAGTGTGCAGTTACTCGAACACTCATGAGTAGTCTGGAACGGGAGGCTAAGACTCAGCAGCTAATTTCCCACCGCTGTCGTCTCTACAGTCCCCGAGAGACTCCTTCCTGGATCTGGGCCCTACATGCTGGTCTGGCCTCTGTGCTGGCTGGGGGTTCTTCTGTCCTTGGAGCATAGCAGTCCTTGTGGAGTCACTAGCAAACACTTGCTCATTTCCTTCCACTGAGTCAGGCACAAGGGCTTGGGTACTAAGCAAGGCAAGTTCTTCATCAGCCACTGAATCACAGTCCAGAAGAGAAACGCCACTGACCTTCTGAAATGGCGTCCTCCTCCGGGGGGAACAGGGTTCTTTTTTTATAGGTGTTGCATACTTGGTGCCACAGCTCCGTGGTGGCTGAAAAGCCTTCTGTGCAGCTGGAGAGACAAAGGTACAGATAGGACTGACCGGGGGAGGTAAGGGCAGCCGACTTAGGAAATCCAAGGCTCTTCTTTTCCGACAAGTTTTTGGGTCATCGATCTCATTCTCCCCACTACAAGACTTTGCTGCCATCTGGGCTGAGTGAGCCAGGGGCGTAGACTTCCCTTTTGGTGTGCAATGTGGAAAAGGACTTTGATAATTTTGCTGACCAGTAGGTGAAATCCTCTAACAAAATACAAAAAAAGGAAACTATCATAATATATACTTGTATATAAATAAGAATTAACCTTTCATTAAAAATACTTAATACATACACCAACAGGACACATTCTTTCTTATCCAATTGCTAAAGGGTAAATAATGTCAAAAAAAAAAAAAAACAACACCACAATCATGCTGTTATTCCTAACCCACTGGAAATAATTCTCAAAACGACCGATGATATAAAAATGTCCAGAAAAGGAAAATGAAGAGATCCTAACTTAAGATTAAAAACAAACAAACAAATGACATCATTTATACTTTAACTTTCCAAAAGTGTTACAACCCCCCAAACGACAGGCTTGTCAAAATCATTTTAAGGACAGGTACTGCCTGACAAGCACCACTTCTTACTTATTTTGTGTGTGTACGTGTTGCTCATGTGCTGTGTGTATGTGTGCATGCCAGTACTCACATGCTACAACATACCTAAGAAGTCAGAGGACTACCTGTGGGAGTCGGTCTCTACTTCCTCCAGAGAGAGCATGGCTGGCTTGTCTGGAGTTCTAACACCTTCCTTTTCTCTAGTCCTGAGTCGAAGGCAACTGTTTAGCTTCTTTCTTTGCCAGGCTCGTAACTGTAACAAGTGCTTTTTTTGTATGGGGTGAGGACTGCTTGATTGAATCAGGGTGCTAAGCAGTGCCATCAGGCTGGCCAGCCCTGGCAACTAGGCGCCCCTGTGCTTAAGGAGTCTCCTGAGCTTAGAGACTCAGCAAGAGCTACGGTCAGCTGTCCTAGCAGTAGGAGCAGGCAAAGGACTTTGCAAGCACATGTTCTCCAAGTGCCCACAACGTAGTCTGAGCCCATAGTTTACATTTATACTTCAACAAATAAGATACAATTTCCACAGAGCCTATGCCTACAGCAGCTACAGCAAGCTAACCATGGGTTAAATGCAGGTTATTCCACCATGTCTGCTAGGACATAGGAAACACCTTACTTCCATACTAACTTACCAGTAACTGACCTCCTGCATCAAGGAGATCTGAAGCAGAGCAACTGGAGGCTGTGTGGGGCTCACCGGTGGGGTCTTTGTTCGGGGTGGACCACTTGGGACTGTCCCCCTTAAGCACGTGTATAAGCTTCTTTTCTGCTTCCTTGTAAAATGTATCAATATTCTAAGAGAATAAATTGGAAAAACCTGTCCTGAGTTGCTAATTCACACATTCATGTTCTCAGAAAGTGTTTTCTTTCAGAAATAAAACATTCAGAACAGAAGAATGAGACACATTTTTGTTTGTTTGTTCTTTAGCCAGGGTCTTGGTGTGTGTGTGTGTGTGTGTGTGTGTGTGTGCGTGTGCAGCCTATGGCCTGGTGCTGACTATATAACCAAAGCTGACACTGAAGTCTGAACATGTAGGCATGCCTGGTGAGACACTCAAAATTGAACAGCAACCGTTAGGCACACAGATGTAAAGGCAGTTCCCAGTAATGGGGTGAGGGAAAGGTGTGAATGAGTACATGTGGGTGTGTGTGAATGAGCACATGTGCTCCTGTGTGGAATCACTGGGCTGAAAGCACTCTCCAGGCACCTGTTGGGTCCAGCTTCCAAGTCCCCGATCTCACCTCAATAGCGTGCTTCATTTTGTTGACTCGCTCTTGAAAGTAGACCTCCTTTGGATGGGCAGAAAATATGGAAAAATTCCCAGCAAATAAAGTCGGCACTCCTGACGTGGATTCTGGCTGGCACTGGAGGTTGCTTGCAGCAATTAGCACACCTGGCTTTATGTCCTCATTAAGGTCTATCCCAAATTTCACCACTAATAAATTAAGGCACTCATCTGACAGGTAGACCAAAGGAGCAAGACCTAGGATGAAAATGCCAGTCATCATCTTTAGAACTGCTCAGACACTGATATACACGGGATTTCTAGAACGACCCATACTTAAGGTATTTCAGTGCCAAACACTCTGAGGTCACAGGGCAGCATATACACTGATAAAGACTCAGGAGAGTGGACATTTGATCCTTCTGAAGAGAACACTGGCATTGTCTAGCAAAGCTATGTACATCTTCCCTTCCACTCAGGGTTCTTATTTCTAGCACTCCGCTCTGAAGACTGATGAGCAGTAGTAGATACATGTGAGCAAGCGCCATGGGAGCAGCTGCACCCAGGCCCCTCGCTGCAGTACTGGCTGAAACTATGAAACGCTGGAAGCCACCCTCAGCAGCTCTCACTCACAGGGGAGTGGCTGTTACACCCACACAATGGTTTCCTGGGCAGCTCTGAAAAGAAGGAATAAAACCCATGGGGTTCTAACTAGGAAAAGCTCTCCAGAAAGACTACAGTGTCACCCTGCATAGCAGGAAGGAGACAGGGAGAATGCATACACGTTTCTAATGCTCTGAGCCAAGAATGAGGAAGGCTGAACAGGAAACCGAGCAGGTGAGGTCTGGAGAGGCAGAGGTAGAGCAGACTCGGGAGAGTTCCTCAGGAAGGAAAGACGCTTCTCCAAGCAGCTTCTGTATGGCCCTGACTCGGAGTCTGACAATCAGTTTTACGAGTTTGTCTTTGTTGTTTTGAGACAGGGTTTCTCTGTAGCCCTGGCTCTCCTGGAACTCACTCTGTAGACCAGGCTGCTAGACCTTAGTTTCCCATCCACTTCCCACTAAAGAGGGAGCAGAGATGATTCAGGACTGCAGCACCTTGTGTTGTCAAAACGTAAAGAACTGTTTAGCAAGTGAAGGAGGCTTACTGAGAGCTGTGGGTGGCCTGGACCTGGGCAGCCCCAGGATGTATCTAGGCCAGGCTCTCCCACTGGATGGGGAAGGCTCGAGAGGTACCAAGACCAGCCTCTCCTCTACTCTCTTGGGTAACGATTCCCTGACCTTTTGAGTCTCTCTACCTTCCACATACTGACTGCAGTAGAGAGATTATTTTGTTCCCTGTTCAGCAAGGAAACAAAAGCAATCAGAAGAGATCTGTGCAAGTATCTACCTGTCCATCAGCTCCTGCATTGGTGGCCCTATCTAAGTACTTCTGCCTGTCTGCTGCTGACTATGGCTTGTCTCATCAGAGTGTCTAGATACAGGATGTCCTGTGCTGACCGTCCAGTGTCAGCCTTGACTCTCTTCCTTAGCTTCTTCAGCACACACTGTGCCCTCAGTATGCCAGCAACACTTTACCTGAGAACTCGTCTCTTGATCATGATTCTAACAACTACTTTCTTTCCCTTCCATTTACATAAGTGATGAATCAGAGAAAGATTTGACAGGATGAGTCAGAGATACGATACACCCAACTCTCACAAGAACAGACAGGGAAGAGAAGCTAGAGCAGCACAGGAGGAATAAGAGAGAAAGAGGTGAGGACAGTTTTATAGAGGAGCTAGACATAGGGTGTGTGTGTGGTATGTGGGGGGG